CTGTTAGATCGCGCTTCGACTACGGGGCGCGCTGCGCCCAGCAGCCGATGCGAGCTGCCCCCCCCCTTCGTTTCTCTCCTCCCTCTCGCCCCCCGGCGGCGGAGCGCCGGCTCACCGCGTGCTCGCGGTGAGCCAGCTCGCCGCGTCCTCTGCCTGTCTCGCCCTCGCTCTCCCCGAATGCCGGGGCCAGAGTCGGACCGCCTGTCGTCGTCCAGACCGGCTGGGCCGAGCGCGGTGCGTGTTGGAGGCGCGGTGCTCGACGTTGTGGATTTGCCCCCCATTCCCCTTCCCCCCCTTCTGGTTGCCGTTCGAACCGATGCATTTTCGCTCAAGTAGTGCCTGGCCTTCGCCATGCCCGCCAAGAGCGCGGTGCCAAGCTGCGGCGAAGACGCTTCGCCCAGTCGAGCTCTGTGTGTTCCCCTCCCTCCTCCGCCTTTCCCGCCCCAGGTTTTTGGTGCCATGTCTTCGGTCGACATGCCTGGCCTGGGCTGCGACCGCCTAGATTGCCACTGAGTTTGTGTTAGTGCCGCCTGCAGGACACGGAACTGTTTGATGCGATTCGGGGCCATTGTTGTATCAGCTTTCCCTTGTTCGTCTCTTTCTGCTCCCCCTTATTCCTTTTTCCCATTTTAGTGGCGAATGTATTGCTTGGCTGTCGAGGCCGCTAAATACAGTCTGTCGCGCAATTGTTTGGCACAGCTGGGGTGGATACGCTTTTGGGGTAATTCGTGTCGTTCGCCACGTTGTTTCTCTTCCTTCCTCCTCCTCCTCCTCCTCCTCCTCCTCCTCCTCCTCAGCTCCTGGTCTGGCGAATAACTGCCCGAATTTCCGCACCGAGTTTCGGTCACGTTCGCAGGACATACGTTCTGTTGGTAACTGTGGTTTCTGTCTCTAGGCGGCATCCCGGCCAGCGCCGTTACGACAGGTAGCGCAAGTTTAAAAGGTGACTCGCGGAGCTACCATTGGTTGTTAACTTCATCATTACCTCTGTTGCGATGAATATATATATATATATATATATATATATATATATATATATATATATATATATACATATATATAGCTTCCCATCTTGTTACACGCCCGGGGGGGGACCATCCCCCCATATATATATATATAACAAATGAAGAAGAAGAAGAAGAAGAAGAAGAAAAAGAATAAGAAGAAGAAGAAGAATAATAAGAAGAAGAAGAATAATAAGAACAAGGAAGAAAAAAATGGACCCCCGGGATCTGGGGTTCCCGGGCTCCCTTGGACGTCCTTGGAAAAGGTCACCCGGCTTTCGGGGTCTCCACAAACGCCTTGCCGGCAGACCCAGAGCGATCCGAGGGATCATCAGAAAGCTTCAAAGGAGGCCCCTGACAGCACAAGAGCGTTCCAAGAGGGATTCCAATTGCGTCAGGACGGCCCACAAGACCCCCAGGGCACCCCAAAAACCTTTCCAAGGGGCCTTCAAAGCACAAAAATCGTCCCATTCCTTTCGTAAACCTTACAATTTTAGCATTTTCGCCTTTCGGATGTCATCAGCTTTCAAGACGGTTTCAAAGCCCCCGAGATCGCCTCAAGACGCCCCAAAAGGCCCCCAAAAAGCTTCAAGACGGCCGAGCCGGGCCCTACGATCGCCTACGAGAGCCCCAAGACAGCCCATAATGGAACCAAGAGGCCCCCCAAGGGCTCCCAGCACAGACCCAAAAGGGCCGTGGGAGGTCCCCGGAAGTGCCCAAGATGGGTCCAAAGGGGTCTCCAGCGGGCCCAAGTTCCCCAAGACGGCCCTAGAAGGCCCCAGGACGGCCCATGAAGTCGCCAAAACGGCCCACGAGGGCGCCGAAAACACCCCCACGATGTTTCCGAATGCCAACATAATGACCCCCAAGGCACCCCAGAAAGCTCTCCAAGGGCCTCAAAAATCGTCCCATTCCCTTTGTAAACCTTACAAGTTTAGCATTTTCGCCTTTCGGATGTCATCAGCTTTAAAGACGGTCTCAAAGCCCCCGAGATCGCCTCAAGACGCCCCAAAAGGCCCCCAAGAAAGCTTCAAGACGGCCGAGCCGGGCCCCACGATCGCCCACGAGAGCCCCATGACAGCCCATAATGGAACCAAGAGGCCCCCCAAGGGCTCCCAGCACAGACCCAAAAGGGCCGTGGGAGGTCCCCGGAAGTGCCCAAGATGGGTCCAAAGGGGTCTCCAGCGGGCCCACGCTCCCCAAGACGGCCCTAGAAGGCCCCAGGACGGCCCATGAAGGCGCCAAAATTGCCCACGAGGGCCCCGAAAACACCCCCACGATGTTTCCGAATGCCAACATAAAGACCCCCAAGGCACTTCAAAAAGCTCTCCAAGGGACCTTCAAACCACAAAAATCGTCCCATTCCCTTCGTAAACCTTACAATTTTAGCATTTCGCCTTTCGGATGTCATCAGCTTTCAAGACGGGTTCAAAGCCCCCGAGATCGCTTCAAGACGCTCCAAAAGGCCCCCAAGAAAGCTTCAAGACGGCCGAGCCGGGCCCCACGATCGCCCACGAGAGCCCCAAGACAGCCCATAATGGAACCAAGAGGCCCCCCAAGGGCTCCCAGCACAGACCCAAAAGGGCCATGGGAGGTCCCCGGAAGTGCCCAAGATGGGTCCAAAGGGGGTTCCAGCGGTCCCACGCTCCCCAAGACGGCCCTAGAAGGCCCCAGGACGGCCCATGAAGTCGCCAAAACGGCCCACGAGGGCCCCGAGAACACCCCCACGATGTTTCCGAATGCCAACAGTCATTGATTTTGCTCCCATGACATTTCGCACTGTGACCCAGTCGTTGAGGGTCTCGTGGCATGCAGCGAAGATGCTCGAGGATGCCCCGTACGAATTGCATATGCATGTTCATAACCTTACACATACATTTATATGTACATGTGTACGCTGTATGCACACATACAACAATGTAAGTGTATTGTATACATCTAGACATTTATACGGAACGTGCATGCACGTGCGCGTGTATACATGCATGCGCGCATGTACGCACGCACGCATTCCGCTTGCGTGCAGAACTCAAAGGACCAAGGTGCATGGCGCGCAGCGCCAATGCAGTCTTCTTCTATATATATACACATATATATATATACACATATATATATACATATATATATATATATATATATATATATATATATATCCAACTCTGGGGGGGCAAGGGATCCGCAGTTCCCTATGACGCTCTTGGGCCGTTGAGAGCACGATCGTCGCGTGGTAGAGCAATGTTGGGGTTGTCCTAACTGGGACCCAGCGATCTCCCATTGTCGAGCGGTGAAGTGTCATACTCCTCGTCCTCCTGCCGCCGCTGCTGCTGCTGATCCGGGGGCGCCCCCACCAACCGAGCTTGAGCCTGAAGTCGGGCATGTCCTTCTTCAGGAAGAATATGCAAACGTAGTAACACATTAGATCCTTTGGGGACGATGTTTCCACACTTGCTAAATAGCTTTGAATGTGTTTTGGCAGTGTTAATTTATGTCCAAAATCAGCCTGTAGGAGAGACATGCCCGACCTGACTTTAGCCTCCTCCTCCTCATCCTCTTATAGGGAACGAGAAGGGACCCCCTCCACGGAGCACCCCTGAGACATCTGTTCTGACCAGAATCACGAGGCGCACCCAGCGGTGGCAGCGAGGGCTTCCCGGGAGGGGCCCCCAAGAACACGAAAGCGATGGAAGAGTATTCTGCGGTGTCGGTGCCGTGTTTCCCTTTTGATGTTCATATTCCTTGGAGGAGGGGGATGAGGAGGAAGAGGAAGATGAGGAGGAGGAGGAGGAGGAGAACGAGGAGGAGGAGAACGAGGAGGAGGAGAACGAGGAGGAGGGGCAGGAGGAGGAGGAGGACGGAGGGGACCCCCCTTGTTCGAGGCGGCGGTGGCGACGCTCGGGGCGCGCACGCGACTCCGCGCCAGCGCAGTGGCGTACGTGCCCCCGGCAGGCGCCTGGGTTCCCGAGGCAGCGCCGTGGCCGCGGCCTTCGCCCGCAGTGTTGCAGGCTCCTGCGCCTGCGGCCGCGGGGTGCTCCTCCTCGGCTGCGGAGCAGGCTGCAACCTCGGCTACGGAGCAGGCTGCAGGCCATGAGGAGTGGCCGCAGGTCAGAGGAGGAAAGTCGGAGGAGGAAGGGGTACCCACACCTCCATCCTCCCCTCGTGTTCCCCGTTTGGGGGGCCTCCTGGGCCTCCGTCGTCGCCGCCGCTGGCTTCGCTTCGGAATCCTTGATCATCTGCTGGTCTGGGGAGTACCCTCATCATTGGATACTAGAGAGTTTTCCAGTCGCGACCGACGAAAGAGGTCGCTACCGATTTTGCCTTCAAATGTCAGCATTGCTTCAAAATCGGTCGCGACCGATCGGTCGTGACCACTCTCACTCGGTCGCGATCGGTGGCAACCCGTCGCGACCGATTCTGGGACCGGTCGCCACCGATTTGGAGTGCCGATTGGTCGCTACCGATCGCGACCGAAAAAGATCGATGTCCAACGATCTGGGCTTTTGGTTGCCCCAGAAAAGATGCCGACACCGCTTCCCTTCCATCGGGCGTGTTCGCTCCGCTTGGAGCCCCGGGGGCCATCACAGAGCGATGCAGCCCGGAGAATGCCGCAACAAGGTGGGGTCCAGGGCGCCGACTGTGATGTGTCGCGAGGGGAGAAAGAGGTTCCGATTCTCGGGGAAGAAAACACGGCATAAGCATAAATGTTCGACGTTCCGCGCGGATTTCTTGGATCTGCGCTGGGCCCCTTGGCGGCGCCTCCGGCGCTGCCCCCTGGTGCGCTCCGCGCGCCAGGGAGGGGGGTCCAGCACAGATCCTAGAAATCCGCGCGGAGCGCCAAACATGTTTGTGTTTGCGTATTTGTGTTTCTCTAGCTACCCTGCTCGTTCTGAAGAGCCCTCGTCAGCACGGCTGGATTATCCTCGAGACTCTGGTCAGAGTGCACCCAAGGAGAGGTCCCGGGAGCAGCGACGTTGATATCTTCTCTTGGTCCCTCAGCAGGGCACAACGGTGATGTTGAAGAATCTGCCGTCCCCGTACACCCGCGACATGCTCATCGAGCTGCTTCAGTCAAAGGGGTTCCTGGACCACTGCAACTTTTTGTATCTCCCGATGAACTTCCAGTCCTCACAGAACGTCGGATACGCGTTCCTTAACCTTTCGAACGATGAGCAGGCGAAGCGTTTCTTCAGCGTCTTCGACGGCTTCAAGGAGTGGGCAGTGGACACCGACCAGGCTTGCTCCGTTTGCCCGAGCAATACGAATGGATTGAGCGCCAATCTCGAGCGTTACCGCAACAGCCCAATCATGCGGGAAGATGTTCCCGAGGAGTTCAAGCCCATTCTGCTCTCTGGCGGGAAACAGGTTGCGTTCCCAAGCCCCACGAAGAAGCATCTGCGCAGGCTCCGCTGCCGCAAGGGCTACTGCATCAAGGTCGAGAGCACTGTCGACGACGACTCGTCTTGGCATTGAGCGGCCAGCGCTGCTCGGGCAATGGCATTCGCTTGTGCTTCCAGGGGGCAGGTGGTGCTCTTGCAGTGCGAGCGACCTGCAGCTCGAAGCAGGCAGGTTGGAGCAACTGGGGGTCGGGGAGCTTGCCGATGAGGGAATGATTCGCAACTCCTGTCTCATATCAATCGGACCAGTATGTTCACCCGAGCCTTCCCGTCTAGCTGCACGCCCGAATCCACAATGCGGCCTTAATGCAGATGTTGAGAAATGTCGTGCTGCCTGTAAGGTCGGCATTGCCAGACTGCGCGTCACTGAATGCATGACCCTCCCCTCGTCACAGCATGCTGCCCCGATGCCAAGGGCTCGCTCGGGCAATGGCTCCAATGCAAGAACACGCTGACGAGCATCTCCCATCGTTTCTTCCTGGTGCTGTCGTCATCTGCCTTTCCTTGCTTGACTCACGGTTTGTGTCTACAATTCCGCATTGCAACATTCCCGCTTGCACAGCTTTTAAGCGTTGGTGCCGTACGGTCTACAAACAGTTTCTCTTAGCCAGCGAGGTGCGAGCGGCACTGGGGGATTGCCGTGCCCACGCGCATACGCTCATCTTCACATTTCCTCCGGCCCAGGCCGAAGTTCGGGGAAGGAGCATCGGGCTGCGATTACGCGCCAGTCCATGATGGTGTTGCCATGGCGATATGGGGCCAAAAGGCGAACTTGATTCATAGAACCCCCCATCGCCATCACCACCAGCATTGGCTCTCCGCTTCTCTTTGACGGCCTCCATTGCGTTTTCCAGCAGGTCGGTCGACTTGCTTAGCTACCAACGCACTTGCTTGAGCCCGTGCTTACTGCGAGGAGGGTTCTTTTAGAACTCAGTTGCCAAGCTGTTTGCGCCAACCTGGGGGTGCGCAAGAAGCCCTAGAAGTAGTAGTAGTAGTGGTAGTGCGCCTCGCGCATGCGTAGCTTTCCAGTTGTCCGCCCACGGCTGACGGCGTGGCGAACGACTAGTACGAGGTACGCTCAATCACCATCCGGGAAGACCGTCATAGAGACGGAAATAATGGGGACGAAGACCCAAACCAGTTTTTGCCTTTGTTGGACAGGGCTCGTTGACGGTACCGCCCCGGACGTTGCCCATGTGCGACGAACGTCGATTGCATCACCAGAGGCCGTTGCTGGTTTCGGAGAACATCTGTTTTTGCGCATCGTCCTCATTCTTACCGTTCCTTTTGCTGGCGTGCCACAGCATAATCCGCATCTCCATCGCGTTTACGCCTGCTCTTTCTTCATGCTGCTCGGGGCGGTAGGGAGGAGCGCACGAACGGCGGAGAGGTGGGCTGTTTGGTAAGGAAGTGGGCAGCCACGGAGGAAGGGCCTCGAGGGACACGGGCCTTGAGGTTTTTTTGCCGCGCGCGGCATCCGCGTTTTTTTCCGGGCCCCAGGATTGTCGACAATAAGACTCGGGATGGTAGCCGGTCTTGGCAGAAACCGCGGGGTCCAGGACTTGGTTCCGTCGGCACCAGTTTCCGCCATGCCAATTGAAGTGAGTTCTTTGGGCGGCGTATGGTGGCTTCCCACGGCGTTCAGAAGACAGCCTCCTGACATAGAACTGAGGAACACGTCGCCATCCCCTGGGTCAGAGAGAAAACTACAAATTAAATTGGGGCCGGACCCACCCTAGAAAGATCTCGATCAGGGGACGGACAAGTTGTCGGAAACGCAGGAACATTCACACATCGGTCATGGCACATCGAGAGCTCTGGAAATTAGACGACTGATGTTCCCCAGTTGAGAAGAGGTTGACGATCGCAATCTCATGTGGAAGATGCGTTAAACGGCGAGCAGATATAACTCAGAACAAAGTATCGAAGCGAATTCGAAACAGTTGCCCAGCCGCTTTCAATGCCCAGCGGGGGGAGCAGGCTGGGGAGGTGGGAAGTGAGGGCAACGGCGACAATCGGTTATTTGAAATTTGGAGTGTAACGATGCGCCCAGTTTAGCACACGACGGGACGGTGCTGGCTCGGATGGTGACGGCAAGCAGAGTCGCGTGGCCTCCACTCGTCTTCACTTTGCCAAGCGCTGTTCCTCGTCCGTCCTCGCCTTCCTCCACCTCCACATCCTCAGTGAGGCGTGACACAGCGCTCAGTGGTTGCGACGCGGCAGGCTCGCAAGTGTCCTTGAGGATACGTTCCGACCACAAGTCCCATCTTCCCGTCTGTCCTTCTTTCTCCAGCGTGGGGGGCCATGATGCAGAGGGAGGGAAGAAGAGGAAGAGAAAGGAGTAAGAGCAGCTGGAGGATGTATTGTCACAGTGCGCCCTCGAAGCGTGGATGGAGAAATGATCGTGCGCCGTGGCCCAAGCACACGGCGAATTGTACAAACGCGTATGCAGCCTACTCCACGCCACCACAGTCAACGACATTTGGTCGACTATATTATTCAATATTCTCAGGCACGAAAGTGCCAGGGACTTTGCATGGCAGCGGAGCGGCTTAAGGGTTTTTGACGTAATTGGCAATCGGGCCCCAGGGAAAATGATGATTCCAACCATGGGAATAATGGCTCATTGTGGAGAAGCTTATTCTACCACCGAAGGCATCATATATTATGATCAGAAGGTTGTTCACTCGCGCCGGGTGCAATGAGGGCAACCCATTCAGGGCGAAGTGGCAGCAGTCTAAACGTTACACAACAATTATGTCCAGCACATGGCAACGTCTGGCATGTCGTGTTCGATCATCTGTGTGGGAAGGAGTGTCGTGTTGGTTTTGGGCAACATGCGTAATCAACAGTAACATCAATGCCAGTCGATAGTTAAAGCACGGGCCTGGCGCGAGCAGAAGATTGATGGCTCATGTTGAAAGGCTCGCAGGTTATCCCGAAGCCACTGGATCCCGATTTGAAGGCACTGGCATTGAAGAATCAGCCTCATTTGCTGGCCCAGCGGGCCAGAGACGTGCTAAAATCTCCGGTAACAGGTTTCGATTGTTCTGCAGTCAAAATCCAGAATCAGGATGCAAATAAGGCCCTCAGAAGTCCCATTTACCATTTAGAGCTCCGTGAACGTCAACATTGGCTCAGGATGGGCCGAAGAAGAAGGGATGCAAGAGTGGCCTTGATGAAGCAGCGCATCCTTACTATGGATTTTGACTGTAGTTTGCGCGCGCGTGGCGGCCCCCCGGGGGTCCCATCACGAAATGTGCCCGGGGCGGGGCTCCATGGCAGGTCCCGGGCAGGTCCAGGGCGGTCGGTGTCATGGACGCCGGGACTCCCGGGGGCGGTCTTCAGGTCTCCCAAGGGCGCCCCACGAACGTCCCGAGAGGCCCCAAGGGAGTCACACGAGGGCGTTCGAGTCGGGATCAGTTGGTGGCAGGTTCCACGATGGCCTTCGTACATTCCCAACAGGCTCCAAGATAGCCTCAAGATGGTTAAACCGAGAGGCCCACAAGAGCCCAAACTTCATTGATCGTGCTTAGGTCTTTGAAAGATTGTGGCGTTTCCGCCTCGTTAGTCCGACTGCTCAAGACGGCCCATTCAGCCACCAAGTTTGCTTTAATTCAGGCCAAGAGGCCCCCAGGACGGCCACGAGACGGTCCATGAGCTCCAGAGGCCTCCCAAGAAGCCTCCAAACCCAACAATAGGGTCCGAAGAGGGCGAATTCGAACTGAAACGTCAAACCAACAGATGGTCCCCCAGACCACCAGAAGCCCCCAAGAGGACCGCAAGAGGCCCCCGAGAGCCCCCCCAGAGCACCCCCCCCAGACCCCCGAGAGACCCCAAGAGGCTCCTAAGATTCCTGAGGAGGCCTCGAAAGCACCCCCGCCAACGCAGGCAAGTGCCAGAGAGGCTACAAGACAATCCTTCAGTGCAGCCTCTAAGATGCCCTTAGGCGAATCTGTGGAAAGTTCCCCGAATGGCCCCAGAGACACCCAAGGCCTCCCCAAGAGACCTCGAGACGTTCCACAGGAGGCCCCAGGAGGCCTCAAAAGTGCCCCGCGGCCGCAGGCAAGCGCCAGCGATGTTCCATGATAGCCTCCAAGCCTCGACCAGTGCGCGATGCGCGTGCGCGATCTGCTGCACGCACACCATCCAAATCGTCCAGCCGCGTTTCGAACCCAACGCCCGACGCAGAACGGAATTCCCGACGCAGCAGAGCATGGTATCACCGCCCACGTGGCATGCACGTGCACGCGATGTTGCAAGACAGTTCTCCAACGAGAGCTCGAAGAAACCCTCGGGGGATTCTTCGGAGAGTTCCCCATCTCCTTCCCTTTTCTCTTCGGATGCAACTCCTAGGAGGTCAAATTCTGATGTTGCCCTGGTCCGAAGTCCGGCTTAATCTGGTTTCATCCCGCTTAATCCCGCTGAATCCCGCTTATTCCGAGGCCCACTCCGGCGTAACAGCCTTCGATGGGGCTTAATCCTCCTCAGTCCTTCCGACGAAGACCTCCCAGCAGTTGCCTCCTAGTTTCTCTCTGTCCTCCTGCTCGTGTTGTTCCTCTTGGACTCTTCTGCCCCAAGCAGCGGGCGATCAGCGGTGCGCGATCTGCTGCGCCCACGCCCTTCGCACACAAGTGGCGATGCTGCACGGGCCGGCAGCATGTGCGAAACGAGTTGTATCATACAGTGGAGACCCACGCCAAGTGACATCCTGCTTGCCTCCAGGGTGCCTGGGGCTCTAGGGTTCCGATGGTTTTGCGATGGAAAGCGTGACGTTCTCTCACCAGAAATGCATGGACGTCCTGGGGTCTCGGGGCTGGGCTTCTTGTGGAGGGTTTCTTGTGGTCGGACTCCGACGGTACCGTAGCCAAAATTGTGTGTGTCTGTGTGTCTGTGTGTCTGTGTGTCTGTGTGTCTGTGTCAGTGTGTGTCAGTGTGTGTCAGTGTGTGTCAGTGTGTGTCAGTGTGTGTGTGTGTCAGTGTGTGTGTGTCAGTGTGTGTGTGTGTGTGTCAGTGTGTGTGTGTGTGTGCCTGTGTGCGTGCGTGAAGGTGTCTGTGTTTGTGTTTGTGTTGCCCGACCATGGCACGGCCGGGGGCCACGGAGCAGAGACCACTGGGCGACAGCAGACTCACTCTCAATTTCCGGAATGGCTTGTGCGGAGGAGGAGCGCGAGTGGAGGGAGAAGGGAAGAGGGAGCAGGGGACGTGGGCGGGAGGAAGGCGGAGAAGTTCTGCGGGCAGTGAGGGAGGGATGGTTGGGAGAGAACCGGATCGGGTATAGCCAGGACCCCAGGGAAGGATACCCGGTTAGTGGTTGGGCCCCAGAGCCCTTAAATTGGCCAGAATCACTAAACCAGGTCTGCCGTAGCTGGTGTTTTTCGGGTGACGGCGGTTCTGGTCAGTGGAACGGGGTTTGAGGGGCGCCCCCCAGTACACGACACTAAACCAGGTCCCTCTAAACCCACTTCTGTCAACGCAACGCCTGACTGGAGACCGGAGGAGGAGGAGAGATCATTGGAGGGATGAGGCGAGACGGAGGAGGGGGGTGGAGGGTGAGAGGCAGAGGGATGGGGGGGTAGGAAGGGCAAAACCATAGGATTGTTGGCCGTAACGAGGGTGCGCAGCTTCTGTCAGGCTTGCCAGGCCCATCTGTCTCGTTGTATCCCCGCTTGCTTCGAGCTCGGGCGAACCCCCCCCAGTAGCGCTGAGCATTTCAGCTCGCCACTCGTAAAGCGCATTCGTATATGTATACTCATCCACTTCGCCCTCCCCCAGCCCCCACCCCCGATTCCTCCGACTCCTCCTCCCCATCGTTCTTGACCCTGCCTGACATCGTCAACATGCCGGACTTTGTTTGCCTCGTCATCGCGTCGTGCGTCGGCGAGTTCATGCTGTACCTGTGCGTGCAGGAGGGGCTGACGCCTGACCCGCGTTGAGGTGACCTCTTACTTTCTGTCTTTCTCCCTATTGTCCTCCTCTTCCTCTTTTGAAGGTGCTCTCGCGGTGTCGCGTGCTTTCGGGGATTTCATGTACAAGGGCATGGACGGCCTGCGCGCCTAGCCCGCCCGATCTGATTAGTTTGATCTGGGCGGCTAGTTTCGCGCTCGTATCCGATCTCAGGGTACCTCCTTCCTGGAAGTGGAAGGTGGGCGTTCAGCCTGGTACAGTTGCACGCGTGGGATCTGCAGCTCCGTTTGACACCGCACTCGATGCATCCGCATGCCCTGCAGCGTTCCCTCCCCCTCTTCGTGTCTCTCTCTCTCTCTCTCTTTCTCTGTTTCTGTTTTGTCGATTTCTCTCTCTCTCTCTCTCTCTCGTTGTTTGTGTTTGTTTTTTTTTGTTCCCTCTCTCTCTCTCTCTCTTTCTCTCCCTCCTCTGTTTCTCTAACTCTCTCTGTCTCTCTTGCTCTCTCTCTCTCTCTCTCGTGTGTCTGCTCAGTTGTTCCTCCCTCTCTCTATATATATATATACATATGTATCGTTTATCTCTTCCTTGGTATACACAGTACACACCTCTCTCTCTAACTCTCGCTCTCTCCTTGTCCTTCTTTCTCTCGCTCCCTCGCCCCACGTCCCACGTCCCACGCCCCGGCAGAAGTGCAGGCCCACGCCCCGGCAGAGGCAAGCGGCCGCGGGCCTGGCAGGAGTGCAGGCGCAGGACCTGTCCGGGTGACAGCGCTGCAAGGAGGTCGACGTTTCGGGGACGGCCGGGAGGGGGGATGATGACCAGTCAGAGCGTGAATTGCCAACCCCGCTTTCGCTTCCAGGCAAGACCAAGTCGTACCATGCGCCTCCCCGTCGAGCGGCCTGACCAGTGCGGGCCGTAGTTTGGCATCGCTTGGTAGCTCTTGGAAGCGAGGGTAGTCAAAAGCGAGGTAGGTTCGGTTGCTCCCTATGCCAGGGGGGTGGATATCATGGCGAGGGCCATGATATCTCCCCAGATTTCATGACGCCTCTTCTCATTTCATTACGTCCCTGGGCCGCGCACGTGCCGCCGGCCATGATTTGCGCCCCCCCTCTTGGACGCCCCCCTCTTGGCCGCCCCCGAAGATTCTGCGAACGTCCCTCGGGGGGCCCGCGATCTGCGCGACTCGCAAGACACCGATCGATGGACAAGGGCTCGATGGTGGTGATTCGTTATCGGGAAGGCCCTACGGCCGGTGCCGCCGACTGAGAGGGAGACGACGATGACAGCAGCGGCGGCGGCGATGACGACGACGACGACGACGACGCTGACGTGGGCCAGAGTCCTCAAGGACGCGTCTTGGGGCTTCTCCGGAAGGCTCTCGGGGGCCTCTGGGGAGAGATTCTGGGACCTCCTCGGAGCCTCTTGAGGGCCTCTTGGGAGCCGGCGGATTCAAGGAGGGGTGGTGAGGTGAAGGACGAGGATGTGGATGCGCCAAGGTGGAGGAGGAAAAGGTTGGTGTCCGAGAGGAAACGGACAGAGAGGGGGAGCAGCAGCAATGAGTAGGAAGGAAAGTGGAGAGCTAGCTCGGCAGAAGCAAGAAGGAGAGTGATGAGGGAAGGGAAATGAAGGGGATGAAGGAGAATGATGAGGAAGCGGGACGAAGGATGAGGATGAGGAAGGAGATGAAGGAAGAAGACAGGGGATGAAGGATGAGGAAGGGAATGATGGTAAAGAAAGAAGGGTGATGAGGAAAGGGGAGGGAGGAGACAGAAAGAGCACAAGGGAAAAGGGAGGAGCGTGGAGGGGGCTCCTCTTGGGGTCCTCTAGGGGCACTCGTGGGCGCCTGGGAGGCCCTAATCATCCCGAACACCCTGGACCCCAAGGACGTCCAGCACAGCCCGGCCACCCCAGACAGCCCAATGACAGGGCCATGTTTGTTACCAGTTCCGTGTTGCATTTGTTTTTCTGGTTGGGGCGCCGTTTTTTTTTCCCGTTCCAGCAAGGTGGAAAAGATCAGGGTGGTTGGGGAAGGGGGGAGGGACAGGTTTCGTTGGCGCACTTTCGACCACGTGATCCCGACCACTCCCTTCAGAGTGTCTCAGTTCGAAAGTAGCGCATGCGATTTGGACCTTATCACAGCATTGACATGTTCGTATTGTTGCTGCATGGCTACACATCAGGCAAGCCCTTGGAGGAGCAGAAGGTCTCCCCAATGCCAGACGTGGGCCGGGTGTGGGCGAGGCTCCACTGGGAGTGCGGCTGCAGTGGCTGAAGGGCAGAAGATGGAACATGTGGAGATCAGGAAGCTAGATATTGAACATGCACAGAAGAGTTCGTGAATTTCTTGCGTGTCAACTTGCCCTGGATCCTACGACTTGAGCTCTGTGACCCGCTGCGAGGTGCGAAGTTTTGCCACCGCCACTCCCGCCCGCCCAAGACATCATGTGCTGTGCCTTTTCCCATCTGTTTGCTCCAGCTCATTGGTTGGGCTCCAACCTATCCGTCTGCGGCCAAGACCTTCGTCAACATCTTCTGTTATCCCCATGCTGCTCACATTTGAGGAGCGGCAGAAGTAAGAGGAGGAGGGGTAGGAGGAGGAGGGAGGACGAGGATCAGAGCGGACAGGGGGGAAGGAGAAGGTGGAGAACGGGGACAGGGCTCCTTAGCTGGGCCTCTACGCATGCCTGTTTGGGTCGGTTGATCCTCCCTGGTGCAGGCCTGGTCTGGCGTGTATGTCTCGTCGTGGGTCACATGTCAACATCCCTCCCTGCCACATCGCAGCAACGAAACTCGTGAGCTTTGCTTTCGAAGCCTGCGGCATTCGTGCGAGTGGGAGTCAGGGCGATGACGGTCCTGGGGCAGGATATTCAGCCAGCCCCCCGTGGATGTCACGCGTTGGCGCGGTCTCCCTTTCGCCTCTTCCTCCCCCTCTCCAAAATAGCGCTGCAAAAATAAAAAATCCCTCCCTGCCTCATCGGTCCTGAGTCTCGGTCGCCCTCTTCAAATGTAAGTATATGCCCGTCCCCGTTCTCTTGTTCGTGATCCTCTTTACTGTACGCAGACTGAGCTCGTTCGCTTACGGCCGGATAGCTGAAGGAAGGATCCTCCGTGACGCGTTCGATGGTGCCGGCCTTTGGCCACGGCTCGGGGCGTGCTCCCCGGAGCTTTCGCGCCGAAGGCCTGCATAGTCGTCAATGAAGGGCTGGATGAGGTGGACGAGGAGGAGGAGGAGGAGGAGGAGGGAGGAGGAGGAGGAGGAGGAGGAGGAGGAGGAGGGAGGAGGAGGAGGAGGGGACCTCTCGGGGGCGAGAGCGGGGGCAGACGTGACCTCCTCCTCCTCCTCGGGCGTAGCCAGGCGCCCGAGGAGGAGGAGGAGGAGGAGGAGGAGGAGGAGGAGCTCATGTGCTCTGCCAAAGTCGGCACGCTGCACTTGTTCCTGCACCAGAAGGCGGCGAGCTTGCACGTCACGTCTGAGCAGCTGCAGAGAGGAGCTCGTGTCTGCTCCCGCCCTCGCCCACGAGAGGTGCTCGGAGACTCCCTTGGAGGCCTCTATGGAGGCCTCCGGCCGGGAGCGGATTGGCAGTCCCCCCCCCTTCGACCCTCGAGGGACGTCTGTCGCCGCTCGCACCCCGGCGAGGCGCCCTCGGAGGCTCCCGGGAGGCCTCCGAAGAGGCCCGGCAGGGAGCCGAGACAGGGCCGAAGACTTCCCCCCGAGCGACCCTCGAGGGACGACCGTCGAAGGAAAAAAAACGCTATGAGCATAAACTGTTGGCGCTGCGCGCGGGTTTCTTGGATCCGCGCCGGGGCCCCCACCGTCGGCGCCTCCGGCGCCGCCCCCCGGCGCACTCCGCGCGCCACCCAGAAATCCGCGCGGACCGTCGCGAGTCTATGTTTGTGCCGTCTTCTTGTTCCTTCTATCGCCTCGAGCGACCCTCGAGGGACGACCGGCAGAGCCTGGAGGGAGCAGGGCGACGATCGAAGGACAAGACATTGCATACGCGTCGGCCGTTGAAAGTAGGTCTTGGTGATCGATGTCTTGTTCATTGTTTTGCCGATCGGCGCGGGCTCTTGCACCCTCCCTCCCTCCCCATGGGGTAGATCTTGGCTGTTTTTGGCGCTTGTTTCAAGCAGATGGAGTCTCCCCCATAGGACGAACTGTCGCAAACAGTCGCACTAAGCAGAGGTCCGGAGCCAGACCCACCCCTCTTCCGCCCAACGTCGAATCGCCGCACAAGAAGACGCTCACGTTGTGGATTCCCAGATTCCAATCTGCTTTCGGTGTCTGCCTACTTCGTCGAAGAAGACAAACGACGTAAAGAGAAGCTTTTCGCGTTCATCGAGAGTTTTTTCCCTCTTCTCTCCTCCTCAGAGGGCGGGCGGAAGCCGAACCTACTTCCAGCGCCTTCCTACGTCATGTGTCTACCCACTTCTTCCGACCGACGGGTAAACTTAGATTTTCGGAGCTCCGCGCGGACCTCTGAGTTCGGGTGTTCTTGTCGTGGGTTGTTCTCCAATGGAGGGGGGAGGGAGGCGGCGGCGACGAAGAGGGCCGACCCGGGCGTCGGAATCGGCCCGGGAGGCTTCCCGAGCGCCAGAAGCAGAAATTGAGCATTTTCAAAAGAAAAATGTGTATTGGAATGGCTTTTTTCGGCGCCACCTCGGAACTCGTTTTCCTGGCGCCGGCCGGAACCGGCTCCGGACCCGGCCCGAGCGCCGGCCTGGGCGCCGGCTCGGGCGTGCAGCCCGGGCGCCGGCGGAAATGAGGCCAGCGTTGCAGCGGGAGCACGATTCGGAACGAGCGGGGCCCGAAAATGAGGCTGGCGCCCCAGCGAGAGCAGCATTTTGGAAAAAAATGCAGGCGAAAACCCAACTCCGGGGAACCTGTGTGTAAAAAACAGTACGCGGGGGGGGGGTCGAATATTCCCAAGCCGTCATCAGGGGAAGAGGGAGAGTAGTATTCATATTGAGTAATTGTTGAGGGTGCAGGGGGGAGTAAGGGGGGATTCTGAGGCTGATGGGGAGGGGTGGGGAAGTCGAGGAGGAGGAGGAGGAGCGTACTTGGCTCAGGAGAAGGAGGAGAATGCGAATACGAGGAAGAGGAAAGGATGATCGGGAGAAGCAAGAGGAGAGAAACAACTGAGGAGGATGAGGAGGAGTGGATTTGGGGGAGCGGGAGGGGGAGGGTTGGTGTGAGATGGAGGAAGGAAAAAGGATGAGGAGTGGATTTGGCATGATGATCATGATAACGATGATGATGATGATGATGATGATGATGATGATGATGATGGTGGCGAAGGTGGTGATGATGACGATGATGAGGATGACGATGATGAGGATGATGATGATGAGGATGATGGTGATGATGATGATGGTGATGATGGTTCTGACAATGATGACGATGATGACGATTCGGAGTCCGACTATGATGATGGTGATAATAATGATGATGGTGGTGGTGATAATCATGATGCTGCTGATGATGATTATGATGATGACGGTCATGGTGATGGTGATGATGGTGATGATGATGGTGGTGGGATGAACATGTGGGTGGTGGTGGTGCTGACGATGATGAGTATGATGGTGATGATGATCATGGTAATGGTGATTGTGATGCTACTGCTGATGATGATGAGTATGATGATGAAGCCAATGCTGATGATTATTATGAAGATGATGATGATGTTGCTGATGGTAATGATAATGGTGATGATGATGATGCTGATGATCATTCTGATGAATGTAGTGGTGGTGGCAGCAATAATGAGTGTGGTGAATATGATGATGATTATGATGGTGCTGGTGATGGAGATGGTGACGGTGATTGTGATGGTGTGATGGTGTTGGTGATGGTGATGGTGATGATATTGATGATGGTGTGATGATGGTGATGGTGGTGATGATGATGATGATGATGTCGACGATGCTGATGATTATAATGCTGATGATGATGCTGACTATGCTGATGTTGATGGTGGTGATGTTGATGGTGACGATGATGCTGATGATGTTGATAACGATGGTGATGATGGTGGTGGTCTTGATGATGATGATGATGCTGATGGTGATGGTGATGATGGTCATGGTCATGATGAGTGTGCTTGTGTGTATGATGTTGATGGTGACATTGATGTGCATTATGCTGGCGACGCTGGTTATGATGATGCTGATGAGGATGCCGATGATGACGATGATGGTGATGATGGCGATGATAATAATAATGAGGGGAAGGAGGAGGAGGAGGATATTGAAAAGGAGGGGGAGGAGGAGGAGGAGGAGAAGGAGGAGGATTAGGAGGAGGAGGAGGAGGAGAGAGGATGACCAGGACAAAGATGAAGACGAGGAGTAGACCTCGTGGGGAAGAGGAGAAGAGGAGAAGGAGCGCGCCTCGCCCGGGAGAGGCAACCCCTCTCACAATCCTCCGCCCAACTGGTCTGATCCCTCCCTCCTCCTCCTCCTCCCTCCTCTTCCGACTGCGCCTGCGCTGATAGATTATCTTTCATCCTCCTCCTCTTCCTCATCTTGCACCCCTCGTCACACTTCTCATCGTATCATATACTCGTCCTCATTATCCTCCTCTTCCTGCCAATGCACTTGCATCATCGTTCTCATCCTCCTCCTACTCACCTTCCTGCTGCTGCCGTTACGCTCATCGTGCAATCCTCATTATGTATTATCGTCCTCCTTGCTCAACCACATCCTCCTTCTCCTCCACCCCTCCTTGCCCTCGCCCGGTGACCTGACCCCTTCCACGTCCACTCTCTCTCTCTCGCGCTCTCTCTCTCTCTCTCTCTCTCGTCACGCATCGGTGGAAGCCGGGGCGCGAGGTGCACGAATTCGTAGCGGCCGCCGGCGATTCGCTCGTCCTTGCTTGCGACGGGCTGTCCGACGTGTGCAACAGCACCGAGGTGATGGCCAGGGAAGGGGCGGCAGGGAAGAATAACATAAGGCATAGGAGAAGAAGGCGGCTTGGGGCCAGGCAGGGCGGGTCCTTCTCCTTCCTGTGTGTGTGGACACTGCAATCAACCGATTTCTTGGGCTGTGCGCGGCAGCAGGAGGAGGGGTAGCGAAACAGAGGAGGCGGAGCAGGAGGGGGGGAGGAGGTGGAGGAGGAGGAGGGGGAGAAGGAGGAGGAGGAGGAGGAGGAGAAGGAGGAGGTGGAGGAGGAGGAGGAGGAAGAAGAAGAAGGAGAAGGAGGAGGAGGAGGAGGAGGAAGAAGAAGAAGGAGGAGGAGGAGGAGGAGGAGGGGGGGTTGGATGGGGGTAGGAGGAGGAGGCGAGCGGCGGCGCCGAGGTGGCAGCCCTGACGGTGCTGTCGCTGCAGAGCTCCCCGGAGCCCGTGGAGGCCGCTGGCACGCTTGTCTGGGCCGCGCTGCAGCGCGACACCACGGACAACGTCACGTGCCTCGTCGTGCGACTGGGCGAAGGCGGGGGGTCAGAGAAGGACAAGGTATCCATACCTCTACCCCCTCGCCCGGTTTCCCCTTTTTGGACCTCCTGGGGGGCCTTCGTCGTCACCGCTGGATTCGCCTCGAAATTCTTGTCAGAACGCAACCCAGGAAAGGTGCGGGGGTAGGGGGCAGTCTGTCGAGGCCAGTTCCGGCCCAAGCCCCTCCGCGCCATCTTCTTCCCCGAGTTCATCCTCCCCCTTCCCCTCGCAGTCCCGCCCTGCCCTGCCACGCATTCGTCCCTGCGCGGGCGATCCCTGAACCGCTGGAGCGGCGGGGGCTCCCTCGTGACAGTGGTGAAGGGACCCGATGGTTATCCGGGTGCTTCCGTCAAGTCCCAGATCCAGTTGGGCCGTATCATGTGGCATCTCCGTAACCTATCCCATCCCTTGTGGGAGGAAGGCTGTCCGCTCCGTGCGGAGGAGCAGGAGGAGAAGGACGAAGCGCAAAGTTCGGCGACGGGGGAGAGGCGGAAGGAGAAGAGAGACAGAGACAGAGAGGGAGAGGGAGATGGAGAGGGGCGGAAAACCAAAAACAGAAGGCGATGGAAAGAGCCTGCAATGACCCTTGAGGCGTCTTGCGGGCCTTCGTGGGCTCTCTGGGAGCGACCTGGGGGCCTCATGGGGCTCTCTTCTCGGGGGCGTCCTAGAGGTAGGTGAGACCTAGGGGTTTATGGACACGGTCGGCCCGGGATATAAGAGCGAGGTCGGTTCTGGGATCGTACCCTGATGTTAGTCGTGCTTGTTGGATGTTCTTGTGCATCCTGGGGAGGGTATCCTTGGATGTTCTGTCTGTTTGGGCCGGCGGAGAGCCTCATTGTCTTGAACGATGTTCTTCTGTCCTAGGTTCTACTGTATCATGGCTGCGGCCATCACGTCTCCCAGATTGTATGGTCGCCTCTTCCTCTCTGAAAGCGCCCCCTGGCCCCCAGTCGTCTGCGCACATGCCCGGGGCCATGATGCGCGCCTCCCCCCTTTCCTGGCCTGGGGTCGAACTAAGCGGTGTTTTGGCGATATCGTTGGCAATTTTCGTTTCGACTTCGTCTTGCAGCAAATGGGGGGAAAGCCAGGGGAAACGGAACGTTATGGAAAACGAGGCGTGAAACGAGGGGCAAGTGGTGCAATATATATATATATATATATATATATATATATATTGTTGAGGGAGTATTGGTTTTACTCCCTTGCGCTCTTGAGCCAAAATGGTTCCGGTCAGTCTCTCTGCCGATCGGCCGTGCTGCATGCAATGCTACACCCAACTGCTATCCCACTTCATGGGATTGATGCTTCTGCTACGCTACATGCTACCTTCCTTCCCGGGGCAGGGGTTTAACCCGAACGCCCCTCCTTGGCCGTATCCTGTTTTCGCAGGAAAGGCCAAGCTCGGAGCCGCTGCCATTCTGGACTCAAACGTCCACGGTCTCAGATCGACTCTGGCAACTAAGCTGCATGCTCTCAGTCGGGCTCGTCGGCCAGCACGGTGCTACCCGCTTCTGGCTCGACCGCTTCTCCGGCAACCCTCAGTGCCTTCGGGTGCCGTCCTGTGGCCTCTCTGAAGTTCATCAACTTCATCAAAGTCTCCTGCACGGTGACGCTGACGGCTTTCGTTCCGATGTCCGCCAGGTTCTCGTCCTTGTGCACCTTCTTGATCCTGAGGTCTCTGCGATTGACGTGGTGTTGTAGCCAGAGCAAGCCCGTGTCGAGATGACGGACCTTGCCCAAGCCCACTCTCGACGCGATGCCCTTGCCTGCCGTGCTGTCGGTGTGGAGGTCAATGGACACCTGTCCTCCCATGTCCCGGATCATCGATCTCATGCCGATGGCGGCAGAGCCGCCCTTGACCTGGGCCACGAACTCCGCCTCGCCAGAACTCAGGGCAGGGGCCGTTTTGGTCGCCACCTACACTCGCAGGCAATGCTTGCCGTGCATCGTTACCGCACAAGACACACTCTTACGATCCAGATCCTGAGCCCAGTCGCTGTCGGCGTACACGTCGATCCTGCCCGGCTGGTCCTGCAAAGGGAACTGCTGGATCCACCGGCCGTGCCCATGTAGGTACTTCAAGCATCTCTTCAAGCGTGCCCAAGACCCAACTGTTGGCTTAGCCATGAACCTCGCCAGCCGGTTTGCGCTGAAACCGTACACCGGGACGTCCGCAGCGAGATAAGCTAGCCTCATTGTTGCGGATCGGAATGCTGTCGCCTGCCCTCGGCCTAGGGGCTCCTCGTCGTGCATGTCCTCCAAACGCTTGTCGGCAGGTGTCGTCACGGATTTCGACCGGCCGTCGAAACCAACCAGGCCACGAAGCAGGTCAACATGGCGTGGGTCAGGTTCGAGAGAAACCACCCGGGACGCGTCGTTCAAGTCCACCAGCCTGTTCAGGATGGTAACGTGCTTGTCGTCTGCTGTGCCCCAGCCAAGCTTTGCGCGTCTCTTGAGGATCATCACGCTCCAGAGGCCCTCTTCGAGCCGGTCTAACCACTCATCAGGTCCCTCGAAAACGAGATCGTCTCCGTGGCGCCACCCAGCACTGTCCTCGGCAGCGCAGTAGTACAGACAAGGTGATGACAGCCCCACTTCGTACTCGCGCCTGACGATCGCTTCGTTGAAGAATTCGTCCCAGGCGTTTGCTGCATCTCGTGTCCCGTACAGGGTGCGCAACAACCTGCCCACGAAGCCTGCCTGAGCGTCCTCTTCTGGCAGCCGGATGTACAGCTCCCGGCGGCACTTCGGATGAAAATGCGCTCGAGAAACGTCCAAAACTAAGATCTTACGCTCTCCTGGGCTTCTGGCTGGCCCCCTCCTGCGCGACTGGAACCGAGACAACAAGTACTTCAACGACTCCAATGGTGGAGTCGCGGCTGTTCTCCATCGCCGGCGACTTCCACTTGAACTCACGCCCGACGAATCTAGCTCGAACGTCTGGTGCGTTTACGTCCCCTTTGTTGGTTATGGTCCACCTTGTCGAGATGAACTCTTTGCCCTTGGCCATCGCCTCTGGCACCTTCTCATAGACAGGGAAAGTACGAAGGAACTCGATTTCCTTGACTTTGGCTTCCCTGACGTCTCGGGAGTTCAACCGTTCGCCCGTCAGCTCGTCGAAGAACTGCTCGAGCCCGTCTTCGCCCCACTCCTGGGTGTCGTGGCCGGTAATGCCCGGCTCCAGGGCGTTGATGCTGACCGCACCGTCCTGCTGCAGCTGTCTACGCAGCCCTCTCAACACAGCCGCCACTATGGCCGGCTTACTCTCCACCATGGGACTCATGTTCACTATGCTGTTGATGGCATTCTCGCGATCGCCGCCCTGGAGCTTCGTGAGTTCCTCGGCGATGCATCCGGAGTTGGTCAGCCATTCTGTGGCCCTTCCGGCCTTCACATGCTGGACGCTCTCATGCCCCAGCAGATGGCTACCATCATCCTCTTCCTCTTCCTCCCTCCCCCCCTGCTCGTGGCCAGGGGCGGCACCATTCACGTGCTCGTGGAGGAAATAGTGACCGTCTTGCAACTGCTTGTGGTAAAGGTTGCGACTGTCTCGAAAATGCGCACGCCCAATCAGCAGCTTTGGGCGGACAGTGCCCCGGAGGCCTTCCGCCTGCTCCACATGCGTCTGATTCTTAAGATCCCAACCCGTAGTCAGATCTAGTGCGACCCCGGGGTGCACTCCCCACCGGGACGCCTGGTCAGCGAACCGCTTCCTGCAGAACACCTCCGACTCGATCACGTCGACGTCGTCCTTGATAGGCTGCCGGATCGCCTCCTGCAGCCGCGACCCGATCGCCCCTAGGTGCATCAGCTCGCCCACGATCTCCGCGACCTCGCGCCGCGCCCTCTTGGCAGCCCGATCGTGCGGACCACCTGCTGGGTCGTCCCCAGCTCTGACCTCACCTCTCCGCAGTGCGGTGCTACCCGCTTCTGCTCGAAGGGGGTCCTGAGCCTCGCCTGGACTGCGAGCCGGCACGGTGCTACCCGCTTCCGGCGAATCCGGCTGGCTCGGAGCGTCGGCCGGCGCGGTGCTACCCGCTTGCGGCGCGCTCCCTGGCTGCCTCCGAGCGTCGGCCGGCGCGGTGCTACCCGCTTACGGCACGCTCCCTGGCTGGTCCGACGGCGCGGGGCTACCCGCTTCCGTCGGCACCTCTCCTGCGACTTCACCTGGTCGTAGAACCTGTGCTCCTCCTGGTCGTCTGTCTGGTGCTCCTGCCTCACCCCGTCTACGATGAGCTTCCTCGACTCGCTGTCGAACCTCGGACCTCTCGTCCGCCAAGATCGCCGCCTCGATCCTGTTACGGCACTCCCGCGTGTGTAATCGTGCTGGTCGGCCTTCAAATGCCGCTGCACATCCAGGACAATTATCTGAGAAACCGTACGCTCGAAGCTCAACCTCACGACGAATGTAGAACCTCCTCGGAATAACTTCCGGGGATCTTGGTTTCGGAACTCGTGGGGGCAACTCCGCCTCAGGGACGATCGGTTCAGTCGCCCGGAGGGGCTCGTAGTCGACGGTTTGGCCTCCTGGTTCTCCCGGTACTGGGTCCCAGGGGACCCCCACGATGGATTTCAAGAGCTCCGGATCGCTGGACTGGATCGCCGGCAACCGCTTCACGCAGTTCACCTTGAAGACGCCACGGGGCGTGCCTACGAGCAACATGTTGCTGCGCTCCACCAGCCCCAAATATATGCCGGTCTCCCACCTGTCCTCGAACTTCCGTCGCCGCCGTACCGTTGATACCGGCATGTACATCACGGCCTCCCCGAATGGAGGCAGCTTCCGGCGATAGGGCTTGCCCTTGCGTATCTCGTAGGCGGTCCTGTTGTCCTTGGCGGCACGCCGGGACCTGTTCAATAGTTGCCCTGCGTACTCCACGGCATAGATCCTCAGAGGGTGCTTGAGCGGCACCTGGACGCGATGATGTTCCAAGCATGCGTGCACTAGGGTGCGAGCCGTGCTCTGGACCTCCCAGATAGCACGCTCGACAACAGCATTCTGCTGTGACTCGGACGTGCCGCTCTCTTCCAAGATGACGTCCACAGGGCCAGCAACCTCCCGTAGCTTCTTCACCACCTCCTGCTTGAGCGACTTGATCGCAGGCTCCCCGTCGCTCTTGTACGTAAACTTGGCGAAGCCTGCCTGCATCACGTCGTCCACCGTGGCCTTCACAGCGTACGTTTCTGGGCCCTTGCGTGGGACCACGCGTGCCGATACCCACCGATCGCCGTAGAACTTGTGGACAAGGATTGGCAAGCACTTGTCGGTAGCCTTGTCGCTCTCGACGGCGTCACCCATGAAACAGTAGTCGCAAGCCACTCCCTGGACGCCAAAATCGTCGGACGTCTTCAGGAAGTGTGGATCCGCCTTTCCCTTACCAGCCACACAGCTACGGCACCAAGCAGCATAGGGCATGTGATCGATCTCATGCCTCGCTCTCTCCTCCGGCGTCGGGAGGTTCGGTGCCATCATCGCCGGTACGCCGCCTCCCCGAGTCCCGAAGATCTCGTGCTCGATGTGCTGCTGCTGCTGCTCCTGCTGCTCGTCCGTCCCATCCTCCTCCATAGGGCTACTACTCGGCTCAGGTGCGGCATTGTTGCCGCCTGCCCCTCCTGAGCCGGACTCCAGGGGACTTACGGACACGCCGGCCCCCCGAAAGGGGGTGACGGCGGCAGCACAACCTCGGCATCGATCTCAAATTTACCTCCTCGACGTGTGATCTCGATCTCCTCCCCGGTCCTGCAGTGCTTGGCGTAGCACCGGCCGCCGCACTTGAAATGCAGGTCGTGGCCGGCGTCCATCATCGAGCACATCGCCAGCAGAGGCTTCCTCACCGGCACAACGTTCACGTTGGCGCTCCTCCTCAAATCGTACCGTCGTCGTCCAAGATTGGGAAGGCTAGGGGTCTCACGGTCTCCGGGTCCGAAGTACTTGACTCCCCTACGAGATTCTGGACTCTCCTCCGTGGCCACCTGCGGGAAGAGCTCCGGGGGCCACACCGTGACCTCCGCGCCGCTGTCCAGGCCCATCGTGACGTGGTTCGTCGTCGTCTGGGCGTGGACCATGCCGACCTCCTTCTGCTCGGAAACCTGGCACAGCTCCACGCTCCCGCAGTCCTGGTCCTTCAGCGCGCCGATGTTCAGGCTGAGCGCCCGCAGCTGCTCCTCGATCGCAGCGATGTCCACCCTCTGCCTCTTCCTGCTCGGGTCTCTGTCGGTGGACGATCCTGGCGCCTGTCCTCCTGTCCTCTGCGGATCGGCATGGCTCCTCCTCTCGTCTCCTCCTTTGCTATCCTTTCCTTTACCTTTTCCTCCTCGTCCTTTCCCTTTTCCTTCCCTATCCTTACCTTTTCCTCCTCCTCCTCGTCCTTTTCCAGCGCTCGGCGGTGGTGCCTTTTTCTCTGCGTTCCACCAGCAGTCTGCTTTCTTATGGCCAGGCTTGCCACAGCAGAAGCAATCTCCGGCGAACTTGATCTTGATCTCGATGAAGGTGTCCACGCGGTGCGCGTTGAGAACGAGGTGGTCGCCCAGTTTCTTCTGCAACTCGCTGCCGGCGGCCAGCGCCTTCAGCAGCACGCCGGTCCGGGTGTCGTCGTCGACGGTCTTCTTGGTGGCGGCCTGGTACTGGCGGATCTGCGTCTCGAGCCTGTCGATGCCCTTCCGCGGGTCCTCGTCCTTGTTGAAGGTGAAGTTGAGGTACGCCTGCTGCAGGGCCATCTTGCGAGACGCGAACTTCGGCTCGAACTCCGCCATCAGGAGCCTCCACAGTAGGAGACCTTCTCCGTACTCGACGGTCTCTAGCTTCTCCATCATGTTCTCCTTGAGCAACATGGTCAGGATGAAGTACAACTGTGCGTCCAGCTGGTCGTCGCCCGGGTCCAAGTCCACCCTGTCGAGGCTCTCGTCGAAGTTCTCGGCTTTCCGGATGAGCTCCAGCATCCGGCCGGACACCGCTCCGAGGTAGGCCCGCATGGTCACAGACCACCTCCGCCAGTCCGCTTCCTTCCCACTGAACTCGCCTGGCTTGTTGATCAGCTTGGTGTCCACGCTGGTCGGGACCAGCGGGGGAGCTCTCGCACGAGCTGCGGCCTCGCTCTTCTTGGCGTCGTCGGCCTCCTTCTTCCTGGCCTCGTCGTCCTCGTTCTTCTTGAGCTGCTCCTTCAGCTGCGTGTTCTCGTCCTCCAAGCGCTGGAGTCTTTCTAACACTGCTTTGAATTGTTCCTCCATTGTGGAGCTCGTCGAGGTCGTCGTCGATCTCCTTCTTGAGGCGCTTCAGGTTCAAGGCCCTCTGCTCCTCTGTGGTTGGCTGCTCGCCCGCTGCGCGTCGTCGCAGCGCCGAGCCTCGTAGTTGTCGGTTGGACCTCGACTCTGCAGATCGAAGTCTCTGTTTGCCCATGCACAGAGGAGCCCAGCCGAACCTGAGACCACGGAGCTACCCGCTTGTCTCAGATCTGACCAGGCTCCGCTACCATGTTGAGGGAGTATTGGTTTTATTCCCTTGCGCTCTTGAGCCAAAATGGTTCCGGTCAGTCTCTCTGCCGATCGGCCGTGCTGCATGCAATGCTACACCCAACTGCTATCCCACTTCATGGGATTGATGCTTCTGCTACGCTACATGCTACCTTCCTTCCCGGGGCAGGGGTTTAACCCGAACATATATATATAATGTGTGTATGTGTGGTGCAATTTTTGTTATGCAGCCTATCATGTGTAATATATGTTTGGCGCACTGTGTGGTGCAATCTGCGTTGTGTTCTCGTTGTGGTGCGACCTATGTGGAGCAATCTATGTGGTGCAACTAATCTTGACCGTCTTGAAGCTGTCCTCTCCACTGCTCGTGCAAACATCCCACCCTCCCACCCGCAACTTGGTCGCAAGACCTCTTCAGACAAGACCGTGACGGTAGGTACCACATGGCATTTGGCCACGACACCGACGCCGACGACGACAGCGACATCGACGACGACGGCGCCGCCGACACCGACTGCGACGACACCGACGACGTCTCCAATGTTTTCGACGACGACAACGACGACGACGACGACCGACGACGACGACGACAACGACGCCGACGACGACGACGACGACGACGTCGCCAACGGAGACGACGACGAGGGAGGAGAAAAAACGACGACGGCGACAACGACGACAACGACGATGGAGGAGGGAAGACGGCGACGACGCCAACGACGAAGAAGGAGGAAGGACGGCGACGCCGACGACGACAACGACGAGGGAGGAGGGAAGACGACGACGACGACGACAACGACGACGAAGACGACGACGACGGCGACGAAATGGAGGGACGACGACGAGACGCCGACGACGGACGACGACGACGGGGAGGAGGATAACGACGAGGGAGGAGTGAAGACCACGACGACGACGACGACGACGGCGACGAAATAGGAGGGACAACGACGAGACGCCGACGAAGACAACGAGGGAGGAAGGACGACCACGGCGACAACGACGACGGAAGCGACGACGACGCCAAGACGACGACGACGACGACGACGAAAGACAGAAGACGACGACGGCGACGACGACGACGACGACGACGACGACGAGGGAGGAGGGAGGACGACGACGACGACGACGCAAGAGCGCGCGCGCACACTTTTGTTGAAAACACGTGTTGCGAAACCTTGTGTTTGTGTAGGTTTTTTGGACGCACGATTTCGAAATCCTTCCGAAACCGAAGGTTCTTGAAGGATTTCGGCATACGCCGGCGACGACGCGCGCGTCTGCACTTCGTTTCATTTTTTGCAGAGGATTCTCGCGACGGCACACGCGCAAGGGCGTTCGACAGATTTCGACATGCGCGCGCGCGAAGCCCGTTTGGTAGCATTTTGTGAAACTATGGGAAAACCTATAGTTTTCTTACGATTTCGCAAGAGCTCGCGCGTAAGCTTTTTCCCAACCAACCTGTGTTGTTGGGTCCTCGTTTTGAAGAGACGGTCCCCGCGTTTCTCCTCCTCCTCCCCCTCCTCCCCCTCCTTGCCTCTGCTCTCGGCACACCTCTCACGCGTTTCGTAGCCCCATAGGGAGCTCCACCGAAGGCCCCAGTGGGGGTGTCCACATGCGGTTCCCCCACCCAGGGCAGCGTTTCGTGGCCCCATAGGGAGCTCCACCGAAGGCCCCAGTGGGGGTGTCCACATGCGGTTCCCCCACCCAGGGCAGCGTTTCGTGGCCCCATAGGGAGCTCCACCGAAGGCCCCAGTGGGGGTGTTCGCATGCGGTTCCCCCACCCAGGGCAGCGTTTCGTAGCCCCATAGGGAGCTCCACCGAAGGCCCCAGTGGGGGTGTTCGCATGCGGTTCCCCCACCCAGGGCAGCGTTTCGTAGCCCCATAGGGAGCTCCACCGAAGGCCCCAGTGGGGGTGTTCGCATGCGGTTCCCCCACCCAGGGCAGCGTTTCGTGGCCCCATAGGGAGCTCCACCGAAGGCCCCAGTGGGGGTGTTCGCATGCGGTTCACCCACCCAGGGCAGCGTTTCGTAGCCCCATAGGGAGCTCCACCGAAGGCCCCAGTGGGGGTGTTCGCATGCGGTTCCCCCACCCAGGGCAGCGTTTCGTGGCCCCATAGGGAGCTCCACCGAAGGCCCCAGTGGGGGTGTTCGCATGCGGTTCCCCCACCCAGGGCAACGTTTCGTAGCCCCATAGGGAGCTCCACCGAAGGCCCCAGTGGGGGTGTTCGCATGCGGTTCCCCCACCCAGGGCAGCGTTTCGTGGCCCCATAGGGAGCTCCACCGAAGGCCCCAGTGGGGGTGTTCGCATGCGGTTCCCCCCCCAGGGCAGCGTTTCGTGGCCCCAGAGGGAGCTCCACCGTAGGCCCCAGTGGGGGTGCCCGCATGCGGTTCCCCCACCAAGGGCAACGTTTCGTGGCCCCACAGGGAGCTCCACCGAGGGCCCCAGTGGGGCTGCCTGCATGCGGTTCCCCCACCCAGGGCAGCGCTTCGTAGCCCCATAGGGAGCTCCACCGAAGGCCCCAGTGGGGGTGTTCGCATGCGTCTCCACTATCCAGAGGTAGCGCCGCCGCAAACGATATTCACACTTGCGGTATTCACAGTTGCATATGGTTGGGTCCTTCGCCAGGCTAATTCGCAAATCACTGTTGCGAAACCATGTGTGTTTGTATGTTTTTTCCCGACCATCCTGTGGTGTTGGGTCTTCGTTTTGAGAGACGGTGGCCCGCGTCTCCTCTCCTCCTCTTCTCCTCTTCTCCTCTTCTCCTCTTCTCCTCTCCTCCTCCTCCTCCTCCTCCTCCTCCTCCTCCTCCTCCTCCTCCTCCCACCATCATCATCGTCATCACCCATTTCGGTACACCCCTCACACGCGTCGTGGCCCCATAGGGAGCTCCACCGAAGGTCCCGGTGGGTGTGCCCGCATGCGTCCCGCGCACCCATTTCGGCACACCCCTCACACGCTTCGTGGCCCCATAAGGGGGCTCCACCGAAGGTCCCAGTGGGTGTGCCCGCATGCGTCCCGCACACACATTTCGGCACACCCCTCACACGCTTCGTGGCCCCATAGGGAACCTCCACCGAAAGTCCCAGTGGGTGTGCCCGCATGCGTCCCGCACACCCATTGTGGCACACTCTTCACACGCTTCGTGGCCCCATAGGGAGCTCCACCGAAGCGCACGCCCATTTCGGCACATCCCTCACACGCTTCGTGGCCCCATAGTGAGCTCCACCGAAGGTCCCAGTGGGTATGCCCGCATGCGCCCCACAGGGAGCACCACCGAAGGTCCCAGTGGGTGTGCCCGCATGCGTCCCTTACATTCATTTCGGTACACCCTTCACACGTTTCGTGGCCCCATAGGGAGCTCCACCGAAGGTCCCAGTGGGTGTGCCCGCATGCGTCCCGCACGCCCATTTTGGCGCACCCCTCACACGCTTCGTGGCCCCATAGGGAGCTCCACCGAAGGTCCCAGTGGGTATGCCCGCATGCGCCCCACAGGGAGCACCACCGAAGGTCCCAGTGGGTGTGCCCGCACGCGTCCCTTACAATCATTTCGGTACACCCTTCACACGTTTCGTGGCCCCATATGGAGCTCCACCGAAGGTCCCAGTGGGTGTGCCCGCATGCGTCCCGCACGCCCATTTTGGCACACCCCTCACACGCTTCGTGGCCCCATAGGGAGCTCCACCGAAGGTCCCAGTGGGTGTGCCCGCATGCGTCCCGCACACAGATTTCGGCACACCCCTCACACGTTTCGTGGCCCCATAAGGGGGCTCCACCGAAGGTCCCAGCGGGTGTGCCCGCATGCGTCCCTCACACCCATTTTGGCGCACCCCTTCACACGCTTCGTGGCCCCATAGGGGGCTCCACCGAAGGTCCCAGTGGGTGTGCCCGCACGCGTCCCGCACACCCATTTCGGCACACCCCTCACACGCTTCGTGGCCCCATAGGGAGCTCCACCGAAGGCCCCAGTGGGTGTGCCCGCATGCGGCATTCATTTCGGTACACCCTTCACACGTTTCGTGGCCCCATATGGAGCTCCACCGAAGGTCCCAATGGGTGTGCCCGCATGCGTCCCTCACACAGATTTCGGCACATCCCTCACACGTTCCGCGGCCCCATAGGGAGCCCAACCGAAGGTCCCAGTGGGTGTGCCCGCATGCGTCCCGCTCACAGATTTCGGCACATCCCCCACACGTTCCGCGGCCCCATAGGGAGCCCAACCAAAAGTCCCAGTGGGTGTGCCCGCATGCGTCCCGCACACCCATTTCGGCACATCCCTCACACGTTTCGTGGCCCCATAGGGAGCTCCACCGAAGGTCCCAGTGGGTGTGCCCGCATGCGTCCCGCACACCCATTTCGGCACACCCCTCACACGTTTCGTGGCCCCATAGGGAGCTCCACCGAAGGTCCCAGTGGGTGTGCCCGCATGCGTCCCGCACACCCATGTCGGCACACCCTTCATACGTTTTGTGGCCCCATAGGGAGCTCCACCGAAGGTCCCAGTGGGTGTGCCCGCATGCGTCCCGCACACCCATTGTGGCAAACCCTTCACACGTTTCGTGGCCCCATACGGAGCTCCACCGAAGGTCTCAGTGGGTGTGTGCGCATGCGTCCCGCACACCCATTCCGGCCCACCCCTCACACGTTTCGTGGTCCATTGGGAGCTCCACCGAAGGTCCTTGTGGGTGTGCAATTTCGGCACACCCCTCACACGTTTCGTGGCCCCATAAGAGCTCTGCCGAAGGTCCCAGTGGCACAGTCCGCAAGCGCCCCCGCCATTCATGTCGGCCCACCCCACACGCGCTTCGTGGCCCCATAGGAGCTCCGCCGAAGGTTCCAGTGGAACAGTCCGTATGCGTCCCCGCCAATCATGTCGGCACACCCCTCACACGTTTCGTGACCCCACAGGAGCTCCGCCGAAGGTCTCATTGGCACAGTCCGCATGCGTCCCCGCAGCTCATTTCGGCACAACCCTCACACGTTTCGTGGCCCCATGGGAGCTCCGCCGAAGGTCCCCGTGGCACAGTCCGCATGCGTCTCCGCCATTCATGTCGGCCCACCCCTCACACGTTGCGTGGCCCCACAGGAGCTCCGCCGAAGGTCCCGGTGGCACAGTCCGCATGCGTTCCCGCCCGCCATTCATGTCAGCACACCCCTCACACGCTTCGTGGCCCCATAGGAGCTCCGCCGAAGGTCCCCGTGGCACAGTTCGCACGCGCTCCCGCCACTCATGTCGGCACACCCCTCGAACGTTTCGTGGCCCCACAGGAGCTCCGCCGAAGGTCCCAGTGGCACAGTCCGCATGCGTTCCCGCCGCTCATTTCGGCACACCCCTCACACGCTTCGTGGCCCCATAGGAACTCCACCGACCGTCCCGTGGCGCAGTCCGCATGCGTCCCCGCCATTCATTTCGGCACACCCCTCACACGTTTCGTGGCCCCATAGGAGCTCCGCCGAAGGTCCCAGTGGCACAGTCCGCATGCGTCCCCGCCATTCATTTCGGCACACCCCTCGCACGTTTCGTGGCCCCATAGGGAACTCCATCGAAGGCCCCCGTGGCGCAGTCCGCATGCGTCTTCCTTGCCCAGCACAGCGTTACGTGGCCCCATATGGAGCCCCACCGCAGGCCCCAGCCAGCCAGCTAGCTCTCTTTGCTCCGCGCAGCGGGCGACCCGCGCGCGTCGCTGGGACCCCATCCGGGGTGACCTGCGCGCGTCGCGGGGGCTTTGTGCTGCGTTCTGCCCAGCGCCTCGCTCGCCCGTCGTCGCTCTGCCCAGCGGCAAGAGCCTTGCCCGCTATCAGCCAGCCAGCCAGCTCTCTTTGCTCCGCGCAGTGGACGACCCGCGCGCGTCGCTGGGACCCCTCCGGGGCGACCTGCGCGCGTCGCGGGGACTCCGCGCTGCGCTGCGCCCGCAGCCTTGGACTTTTGAGTGCGCGGGCAAGAGGGAGTAAAGGAAGGGGAGGAAGCGGGCGCGATCCTCGCGGGGGGGCGCGCCGACATTGGCGTCGAGGCGCGCGGGCGATGCCGTCGGGGAGTCCCGGGGAAGCCCCTTGCGGCGGCCACGCCCAGCGTCACGAATACTCAGAGGCAGTCATTGTCAAACTATTGACAGTCATACACAATTGCACCACGCTGTGTCATATTCGCATTCATGCACGTAGACTCGCTCGCACGCAGATTCATTCACAGTTAGATGCACGCGCGCAGATTCACCCGCGCTCAGTCTCCCTACGTACTCAGATCAATCGTTTTCGCTCGTGTTGTGTACCACGCCACTCATGTCGGCACACCCCTAGCACGGTTCGTTGCCTCATAAGGATCGCCACCGAAAAAGTGAATCACTATTGCGGTACTCACACCTGCATGTGGTTGGGCCCCTCGCCAGGCTAATTTGGAAATTCAATTTTGAAATCTCTCCGGAACCGAAAGTTTTTGAAGGATTTCGTCATGCGCGCGCGACGACGCGCGCGTGCGCACTTCGTCCCGTTTTCTGCAAGGGATTCGTGAACAAATGCTATGGTAGAACAAAACATGTCACCGCATAGTGTTTTTCACAAGGGAACCTCAGGGGGGGAAACCGGCCTGCCTGGGACGGTACGGTTGCATATTTAGGATGGACGAGTGCGCGGAATATATATATATAATATATATATATATATATGTATATGTTCGCCCCCCCCCCCCCCCCCCCCCCAGCGCACCCCAACGACCATCTTTCTCTTCCTCCTCCTGGCTCCCTCACGCTCCTCCCCTCATCAGGCTCAGCATTTTCGATGGCGATTGTTCGAGAAGGCACCTGAGGCCTCTTGGATGTTCGTTGGGATATGGTGGGAGGCATCTCGGGGATCTGTTGAAAGCAGTTTTGAAGCCTCTTAGGGGCAGTCTGGGGGCCTCTGGGGGCCTCTTGGGCGCCTCTTGGGCGCCTCTTGAGCTTCTTGGAGGCCTCTTGGATCCTCCTGGAGTTGATGATGACGAGTGCGATGATGATGATGATGATGATGATGACGATGATGGGGCTGAGGACGACGACGATGATGATGATGATGATGGGGATGGCTCTGATGACGATTGCGATTAAGATGATGGCGATGGCAACGATGACAATTGCAATGGTGATGCTTTTGATGATGACGAACACTATATTTCATCAGCGTCCTCACGCTCACTTTCATCATGTAGTTAACGTATTGTGCTCAGGCCGTTGCCAAGCATACGCTAACGTATTTGTCTTTTGTTGTTGTTGTTTTTAACATGCCATCCTTGTGCATCAATCTGGATTGCAAGTTCGGCGCGATCAACAAACAGGGCGAAAAAAACCAGAGGAAACGCACAGTCAAATGACAAGTGTTGCATTTGCGCCTGCGCGGACGCCGGACGAGGCAAGTTGCGCGCCTTCTTGAAGGGCACTGGCCAGAAGAAGGCTGTCATGAAGAGCACCGCAGCGATGAAGATGAAGAGGGGAGATGCCCCCAAGACTCGCGCCCCGAAGAGCGTGCCATACGTGCGCCACGGAGCCTTGACGAGAAAGTCGCGGCGAGACCGCGAACAGTGGGCACGCTGCCTGAAGGACATCGTGAACCGCCCCCTGAGGACTATCATCAACTTGCTCAAGAAGGATGGCGTCCTGCCCGAAAGGCACGGCGTGGCTTGTCCGCACTGCCAGAGGTCAACGCTCGGCCCACTCAAGGACTTCGGGGCGAAGGGGGGCGGGTGGGCGCACATGTGCAAGGGCAGAGACTGCAAGCGCCGCGTACTGCCCCATGCCTTCCACCCTATCTTTCGCGTCGGTACTGGGAAGTCCCATGCTGGGCTTGGTGACCAGGCTGCGATATTGTTCTGCGCTGTATCTGGGTGCACGCAGACGACAGTTCGCTACCTGCTGAAAAAGAACCACAAGTTGGCGGAATCCATATACAAGTCTCTGTACGATGCCAGAGCCAAGTACGTGCGGCAGGAAGAGAAGAATATCCGCTTCGGCGAGGATGTCGAGTGGCCCGGCGTCGAGGCGGACGAGGTCGACGTTGCCAAGGGCGAGGGCCCAGACGCCACCTCGCAATCCCGCCCCACTGCTCCCACGCCACTGAGTGGCGTGGGAGCAGCGGGGCGGGATTGTCCAGCGCGGAGACCCTAAGTCGCTCGTCCTCTTCAGGCTTCGCCCAGAGAAAACAGTGCGGAGGGCGCCAGGCCCAGGCCCGATCCGCAAGCGCGACTGGGCCCCGCTGGCCAAGAAGTGGCTCAAGCAACGCAAAGTCATACTCCACACAGACGGCGCCCGCTCCTACAAGCTGCGCGTTGACGGCGTGGTCCACGACTGGGTCGTCCACATGAAGAAGCGCGTGAAGGCCGCTGGTGTTTGTGTTTGGGTGGGTGGGTGGAGGAGGGGAAGGTGGCCGTCCCTCGCCGGCGCCGATTGCGGCGGTGCCCTTTTCTGCCGCAGAGTCAATTGGCTCGACCACTTGACCAGAGGTACGATGTGGGCATTGTCAGAGTCGGCGCAGGCAAAGGACAGTCGGCCCCTTTGCCGCTCCTCGCAGGTGAACGGCAAGTACGCGTGGGTCAAGCCAGCCTTCACGAAGGTCAGGTATCACGACATTGCAGACAATGGATGCTCCAACAAGAAGAAGCGCATCTGGGTGAAGTGCGGGACCCAGATCATTGACCGCGTCTGGGGCGGGTTGAGGCGCCACCTTGGCCCCAACCGCAAGGTGAACTCCCGCGCGCTGGCAAACAAGGTGAGGTCCTTCCAGTGGTGCTACTGGAACAAGGGCGAGGACCTGTGGGCGCAGACGGGCAATATGCTTACCGCTCTGTTCCAGCAGCAGCACGAGTGAGCGAGCCCATCTGCCGCTGCAGAGGCACTGCATACCTCCGTCTCAACTGCCACCTACCCTGGCCCCGCACTGCTTCCCGCACGGCGAAATGTTGGGCCAGCGCAGCGAGAGTGCCCAAGCGATATGTGTGCGGACGTGCATATTGGTTCTGAGGTTCGAGAAAAACTACGTAGTCTGCCCGCATGGAAAGTCCGCCCGCAAGGGTATGATCAGGAGCAGCCGTCGCCGTCGTCGCGTCGTCGTCGTTGATTCAGCCCCCGCCCCCCTGCGGTTACCCCCTCCCCCGCTGTGTCCTGCCGCCGCTATTGATCAGGCTTGCACAGGGTGTCCGAATACATTCGCACGCGCACAAGCCCCTGGTATATCTCTGCTCATGACCAACCTCCCCGCCCTCGGAATGAAGTCCCTGAGGGCGCACTTGGAGGTCGAGGGGGCGGACAGCGAGAAGATCCAGCAGGTATTCGAAAAGGTCCGCGGCCGCGGCTCGGCCGCCCCGATGTACCAGACGGCGTTGCACCCAGAGGAATTCCAGGGCGATCCCCCAGCTCTCTACTCTGTAGGGGATCTCCCCCTCATGCCGTCTGAAGGTTGCAAGAAGATGAAGCATGCCTTTGCCGTTGTCTTGAACTACCAGGGGGACATCGACATGGCCGCGGTGCGGGAGGCCATGGCGGTCAACGACTACAATGGCCTGCCAGAGCTATTGCGCCCCAGAACAAACTGGGAAGCCCTCTACACGACGCAGCTGGCACTGGTGCCCGCTGGCGACGGCGACGGGACAGACATCATCAAGTACTTTCTGTTCTCGGGCCCGCAGCCGTTGGTCGACGTCGAGAATCGCCTCCTGCGTGAGAATGAAGTGTTGTACACGCTATCTTGGGGCAAGGGAGCGGGCGTCAAGACGCCGTGGAAAGTCTTGGTCTACATGATGGATCGGCTCGGTGGCACGCACTTCCGTTACCACCTACCCCCGCAGGAGAAGGGCGAAAAGGAGAAGAAGAAGTGCCTTCCCCAGGACATGATCGTATCCCAGTACCAGTTCATTAAGGACAACGCCCCGCGCGGCAACTTCGATTGCGAACAGATGATGTGGATCGACTTCCAGCTGAACGACCCGCAGAGCCCCATCCACAGTTGGAAAGATGGGAAGATTAAGGAGGTTCTCTCGCACATTAATGACCAGGGCATTCAGGCGAAAAAGATCACGTACCACCCCATCTTCATCTTCGACACAGGGGGCGAGGGCGCCGAGCGCGCGAAGCGCATCGTGCCTACTTTCAAGAGCCACTCCTGCCTCATGGTCGGCGAGCCTGGCGAGGGGAAGACGCCGTACCTGGAGACGCTGGCATTCGCCATGGGCGACTACTACGCAGACAAGCTGGGGGGCCGCGGCTTGGCCTCGTTCAGAGAGGGGCCAGACCTGGATTTCTTCAGGGCCGAAGAGGGCACGAAGCACTGCCCGTGCGTCTTTGATGGCGGCGACTTGTTCGAGCAGCGCCCGAAGACGTTGAAGGCTTTCTTGGACGTCGGCCAGTTCCAGGCGATGACGAGGGAGCGGTGGGGGGCTGCCAGGTTCGTTCGGGGTCAGGCGCGCTTCGCCGCGGAGAACATGTGCGACGAGACGGCTGTCCCCACCGTGGACGCGTGGCGCGGTCTGTGCATCTTGTCGCCAGCTGAGGCCAAGCAGAAGCGAAACCAGTTCTTCTTCGACATGCTCAAGCGCACGTTCCCCAATGACATGTCCAAGGCGAACGTCATGGCCCTCTTGAAGCGGTCCTCCGCGGTCGTGAACACCCCCCAATGACGTGTTCGAGCGCTTGGCGGGTTTGGACTCGGACGTGACGAGGGCCCCGAAGGTTGGCCACTACATTACCAAGGCAGCGGGGAATATTCTCTACGACTACATCCACAACGGCGCGACGCGGGACGCCGAGGAATACAACTCGCTGAGGGACAAGCAGCTCCGCTTCATGAAGGCGCTGCTGGACAAGGGTTCCGTGCCCCTGCCTCTCTCGGTCAAGGAGGAGCAGCCGCCTGACGGCGCCGAGGGCGGCAGTAGTTCGTCGGCGGCCCGCGAGCCCCTCCCGCCCTTGCCCAAGCGCATCTGCTGGGCGAGGTCGTTCGGGAGCATCCCAGAGGTCGAGATCGACCTCTCGAGCTCGCCCGAAGAGGCCCGCGGCGCCGCCGCCGCGCCCAGTAGCCAGGACCTCGCCGCTGCGCTCGCCGATGCAGACAACGGCGATCCGCTCGGCCTGGGCGGCGGAATGAATGCCGATGCGTCGGAATGAGCGGGCGGCCGCTTCGGCGGGGGGCAGCCAGCGGCCAACGTTGCCCCTCGATATTATAAATGCTGATCGATTGTGCACTGGCTGCCCCGACTATGCCAAAGACGAGGGAGTCACAGCAGCAACCACAAACGCTACCTTCCAGAAAACGTTGTCGCCACGTCGTCGTCACCCTCATATTATGTGTGAGCTTGTTCTTCCTTTCCTCACCGTTTGCTGCCCACGTCTCCCGATCGGCTGAGCAAGGTCTGCTGCCCAAAGCTAGACACAGAGGGTCCATAAGGCGTTGGTAAGGACACCTTGTGAAAACACAAGTCCCGTCCATGCTGCGGCCGCTGTCGTGAGGAAGCCTTGTAACACACACACGCACACACACGCCCACACACACACATACACACATACACACACACGCACGCACGCACACACACACACACACGCGCCTGATAGTTTTAATCGTTTTCGTAAGGGAACTCTTATGGAAACGCATGTATTCTTGATATGTTTGAAGTTTTTGACAAGAAAACCACATAAAAAAAACACACTTATTCTTGATATTTTTGATGGTTTTCATAAGGGAACCATGTGAAAACACAGATATTCATGTTATTTTTAATGGTTTTCGTTAGGAAGCCCTGTGAAAACACAGATATTCCTGATATTTTGTGGTTTTCTGGAGACGGGCGCCCCTCTTCCTCTTGCGCCACCAGCCTTTGCAGCGCGCCCGTATCAAGAAAACCACAAAATATCAGGAATATTTGTTTTTTTCTCACATGGTTTCCTAACGAAAACCACCAAAAATATCAGGACTATCTGTGTTTTCACATGGTTTCCTTATGAAAACCATCAAAAATATCAAGAATAGTTGTGTTTTCACAAGGTTTCTGTGCGACAACCTTTCAAAATATTAGGAATAGTTGTGTTTTCACAGGTGTTCCTGCCTGGCGCATTGTCCCTGAGGGGCGTGGACCTGGGGAGGGAGCAGGGGGAGGGGCGCCCTTTTTCCAGAAAGCCGACAAATATCATGACTATCTGTGTTTTCACCGGGTTTCCTAACGAAAACCATCACAAATATCAGGAATATCAGTGTTTTCATATGGTTTCCTTGCCAAAGCATTCAAACATATCAGGAGTATCTGTGTTTTCATATGGTTTCCTCAGAGAGCAGCCCCTTTTTTGTAAGGCTTCTCATAAGGAGGAGGAGGAGGAGGAGCAGCAGGAGGAGGATGAGAGGAGGAGGAGAAAGAAAAGAGAGGAAACAGAGGAAGAAGCAGAGAAGCAGGAGGAGGGAAAGGAGGAAGAGGAGGAGGAGGAGGAGGAGCAGCAGCAGGAGCAAACGATCAATGATGGATTTGTGGTCGTGGGTGGTTTGGGGTGCGCTGGGGGGGGGGGCGACCATATATATATATATATATATATATATATATATATATATATATATATGTGTGTGTGTGAAATTCTATTATTCCAGGGGGAAGCGTTAATTCCGGGGGGAGGTAGAGTCTATTTTCTTTGTAGAAAAGGAGAATCTATGTGGCGCTGCTGGTTTTTTACAAGCGAGTTGGCAAATCCCACGCCTTTGCAAACATCCCACCCACCCACCCGCAACTTGGTTTGAAACCCAGGCGGCAGCGAGCGGCGATTGCGATGAGTGCTTGGAGTTGGCTGGTGCGGCCGCGCTCTCCGAAGACGCTGGCACGCACAGCGGCCAATTAGTTTGGCAACCGACGCGGCCGCGGTGGCGCCGTCGCCGTCGCCGCCCGTCGTCGCCTCGTCGCCGCCCGTCGTCTGGGCTTGTCTGTTGGCCGCCGCGCTTGTTGCCGCCGTCGCCGCCCCGTCGCCGCCTCGTCGGCCCCCGCCGTCGCCGCCCCACATAGATCGCACAACATATGCTGTACTGCATAGTTCGCACCACAGATACTTCACCACATAGATTGCACCACGTAGATATCGCACGACATAGATCGCTTTGCATATATTGCATTACGTTTTTTGCACAGCATCTATGGCACCACCTAAATTGCAGAACGCCAGTTGCACAACATCGGTTGCACTTCGTAGATCGCACCATACAATTTGCACAACATAGCTTACACTACCTAGATTGCACCACGTGTATTGCCCCACGTACAGTGCACAACACCTGTTGCACCACACAGATTGGCACTACAGAGATTCGACACTATAGATCGCACCACAGATATAGCCCATTATATGTTGCACAGCATGGATTGCACCACCTAGATGCCATCACATGGGTGTCGCCACATATATTGCACATCATAGGCTGCACGCCAGATACCCCACTGCATATAATGCACAACCTGTATGGCGCCATCTACTTTGCCCCGCAACGATTGCACAACATATGGTGTACCTCATAGGTCGCACCCCGCACCCGTTTTTGTACACCATAGGTTGCACAACATAGATTGCACCACATTGGTTGCGCAACATATATTGCGCAACGCATGCAGCTAAAAACACATTGCTTGGAGTCCGCAATGGCTAACATTGCTTGTGTTACAGGTATCCCGCTGTGGCCGCCTCGGATTGGTAGCATGAAGAGGAAGCCCCATAGGGGGGCCTTCTTCGAGATTCAGTTTGTAAAGTGTGAGAAACCCTGTGTCTGTACAGGAAGGTATCCCCTGGCCGCCTCGGATTCGTAACATGAAGTGCGGGCCCCATAGGGATGGGGCTCACGCTCGGGACATTCCACAGGCGAGGCTCACACTCGAGACTTGGTCAAGATGAATGTGTTAGTGAGGGTGTGAGTGTGTGCGATGAGGATGATTATGATGATGATGATGACGACGGTCAATGGTCATTATGGGATGTCGATAGTGAAAATGTTGACGATGATGATGATGATGATTATTATTACGATGTTGATGATGATGATGATGATGATACTGATGATGATGATGATGATGATGATGGTGATGATGATGATGATGATGATGCTGATGATGATGATGATGATGATGATGATGATGATGATGATGATGATGATGATACGGATGCTGATGCTGATGTTGACAATGATGATGTTGATGGTGTGATGATGATGGGTGGTTATGGAAATTTATCGTAGAACGTGGGAGGGCTGTGTGGTTGCGAGCAGCGACTCCTGCAACCGCTACGGCTCAAGCCTTTTCTGTGGAGGCCTGGGGAGGCCTGCGCGCGGGCCCGCGCATGCGCCCGGTGGCCCGCGGCGTGACGCTGGTCGCGTTCCACGCCAGCGCCGTCTGGCTGGGGCGCCTGCGGGGCGGCTCCCGCCCACCGCCGCCGCCGGCGGCGGCTGCCGAGGCGCCGCGGCCGGCGCCCGCCCTGGCCTCGCGTGAACGAGGCTGCCCGGCGGCCACGCCGCCGCCCGTCGCGCAGGTCGAGGACCTCTGCGCGGCCCTGGCTCGGTGCGCGCCCGCGCCGGCCCCGCTCAGCTTGGATTTCTGCCCAGATCCCTGCCCGGTTTGCCCCGAGCTGGAAGCGGGGCGAGTGTCCTGGGGCAGCGAGCTCGGCTTTGGGCTGCTCGCGCTGCTGGTCTGGGAGGTTTTCGCCACTTGTGTGGCCGCGGCCTGCGGCCTGGCGCGCCGCGCGACCAGCGGCCTCTGGAGCTCGGTGTGGGAGCCTCGTCCTGTGGAGGCAGTGCCACCTGCGCTGGAGGACGCTCTCGATCGTCGTGTGCCTCGAGGCCGTGGTCGTGTGCTGACACCTGATGAACATTGGCGATGAGGTGCTGGTGGCGTACGCTGTTCCTGGTCCTGTGTTGCTTCACCGTCGGGTTGTGGTGCGTGTCAGTGCCGTCCAGCCGCTCCACGCGGTGGTGGTCTCGCCCGACCATGACCTGTTCGTGGAGCTCTTCACCGCCGACAACTCGGACATCGCATCGTGGCATCGGTGCGGGCCAGGAGGGGTCATTCCTCCCGCTGCGGCGGGCCCGCCCTCACGGCCCAGGAATTCTTCGGTTTCGCGCAGGAGGCCGACCGCCTCATTGCCGACCGCGACGCCCAGCTGGCCGCGGGAGCCGCAGCCGCGGCGGCGCCTGCTGCGCCGGGATGGAGTAGGGGTCTCGGAGTGGTCAGAGGACCTGGCGGGGGCCTGGCGGCCCTTCTTGGAGGCGGTGGCGGAGCAGCTGTCGGCGGCGCTGGCGCCGTTGTGCCTGCCGGCGCGGCTCCCGCCTCTGCCGGCGGCGCTGTGGCCAACGGGTCCCGCGGCGGCGGCCCCGGCTGACGGCGGCGCAGCCGCCGCGGCCGCTCAGCCCGCAGCTCCTGGCCCTGGGCACGCGGGACTTGCGGCGGCGCTCAGGGGCCTGCTGCTGGAGTCGCGTCTAACGGTGCCGACTGCAGGACGCTGGCCGTCTTCTACGACACGAACGGCCAGCGCCACAGGTCCTTCGCTGATGCCGTGGCCATCCTCTCGCCCGCTCACTGGCCCGACTGGCCCGTGCCGGGCCTTCGCACGGTGGTTTGGGTGGCTCGCTTCATTCTGGAGAATGGCGGCAGCTCTCTCGGTCATCGCGTTCAGTGGAGGTCGAACATCAGGCTCGCGGTGGACGACATCACGGTGTTCACGCACTTGGAGTTCAGCAAGATGTTCGAGACAGCGCTCTGTTACGATCAGATGGATATCTGCAACCTCGGGGCTCTTTGAACAGGTGGCCCGCCAGTTGCAGTTGCGCGAGGAGCGCTGCAGTGACAAGACCCTCGGCACCAGGGCGGGCGACGAGAGCCATCGGGACGAGCACTATTACTTCACTGGCATGGTCACGGCCCGAGGCCTCATGGTGGCGCCCGAGCTCAGCATTTGGATCAGCGAGCAGATCGCCCGCGAGAACGCCATCGCGAAGGAGCGGAGGAAGGCAAGAGAGGAACGCGCGCTGGCCCGACCCAAGAAAGGGGTCAAGGGCGGCAAGGAGGGCGAGTAGCCTTCGGTCGCTCCTCCACGGTCTCGGCTGCCTGCCGCCCCTTGGCCCCAGGCTGGCAGC